ATAGTTAAAATAGGTCAGTTTACAAAAAAAAAAAACAGTAATAATTATCTAACGATCATAATAAATGAAAGGAATAGAGCAGAAGCGTAAGTACTGGAAGACTTCTCACTTCCCTTAACGCCAGGATATAGTTTTGCTTCACTACGTTCTTCTAAAAATGGAAGTCAGTTGTATAAGAATTTTTCAACAGTGCATTCAATTTGGTGTCTAGACCTCCAGTCACTATTTGAACTCAACAGACTGGAGCTCCGTCACCATTATGTGATCAATCTTAATTTGGTGCCCAGACCTCCAGTTACTACTTGAATTTAACAGATTTCAACTCCGTCACCATTATGTGAACAATCTTAATTTGGTGTCCAGACCTGAAGTCACTACTTGAACTCAACAGACTGGAACTCTGTCACCATCACGGATTCATAACCTCTTTTGTGGATGCAAACTCATGCTTTTAGTGCATTTCTGGCATTTTGCTCAGTGCTAAAATTTATACTCAAAATCGCAATCAAGCGCAGAGAACTCACACATCCACCTGGGTATATCACCTTCATTCTCACAGATATGCCATCTCTAGGCACTCATGCAAAAGGATCGGCAAAATATACGGATCTTGTTTCAATTAATCCAAAACTTTAAATAAGAATGAAAGATTAGAATACTCTAACTGTAATTTTGATGGAATTTAGAAAATAAATCTATAATTCAATATGTTACACTAAAATACTATTCTCATTATAAAAAAATATATGTTTAAAAAACTGAAAACCCTACAAAAAAAACTATAATTTATTCACAGTCTATACTTTCACAAATAGTGCCTTTCAAGGAAATTATATTAGTCGATAAAAATTTGACGAGTTATATATTGTATAACTTAGTGAAAGCAATTATGAATAATTTAACACTAAAATATAAATTTATGTATAACTATTCAAGCATCCTAAACAAAAGTTAATCAAAAAACTTAAATGATCAAACTGCTGATGAATGTCAAATTTGTTAAGACTTAATTGATTTTTATTGTGTGAAGTAATAGCTAAACAATAGTTTCAGCTTTGAAAAAATATAAACTATTATCAAGTGAATGCTTTATTTTTGCCAACACTCGAATAAAACAAAAGCGTTAACCAGTCCCACTATTTCTCTTGTTAGAATCTCAAAACTATGCACAAAATCGTCGAGAAAATCTATGAACACAAAAAAAAAAATTGAAACAAGGCAACTAAGAATGCGGCAGTGGTGCAATATGGGTATGCATCTAAGATTTTTTGGCATTTTGCCACTATATCAACAATCACTACAAACATTCAAACGCTTTAAAGTTAAATCTTTGAGTAAACTTAACACTTGGCAATTGATGAAGGATGTTGATCTTCTTCTCAAGTTGCAATAGGACTTGAGATATAAAAGCATAAAACTATTATTTTTTCAATGTTTGCATATTTAGATAATTTTAGTTTATGGTAAATAAAAAATTTTTTTTTAATTTTATATGTATTTATTACTTTTCTCAAAATCCATTTGGATATTATAAATCTATTTGCGATACTAAAAAATATAAATAAAAATTTTTATTTTTGACATACATTAATGTATTTTAAGAAACTATAATGTTTGTTTAAAATTTCTAGTTATAAGTACTAATTTTTTTAAAAATTTAATACTTAAAACTACCAGCCAAACTTGTACAGTTACAAATTGGCTTGAATTGTGCACAAAATTTTAAAGATATAAAATTTAAAATAAAATAAAAAAAAAAATAAAAAAAAAGTTAAAAATAGAAGTTATATATAATAAAATAATATAAAATTAAAATATAAAAAAAATAAAATTAGAAATATAATTAAAAAAAAATAATAAATAAATAAAATAAAATCAAAAAAATAGATAAAATAAATAAATAAGTAAAATAAAATAAAATTAAATAAAATAAAATAAAATAAAATAAAATAAAATAAAATAAAAAAAAATAAAATAAAATAAAAGAAAACAAAATAAAATAAAACAAAAAAATAAAATAAATAAAAAATAAACAAATAAAATTAATAAATAAATAAAATAAAATAAAATAAATAAATAAAATAAATAAACAAAATAAATAAATAAAATAAATATATAAAATAAATAAATAAATAAAAAATATATAAATAAAATAAATCAATAAAATACATAAATGAAAAAAATAAAACAGAATAAAATAAAATTTATAAATAAAATAAATAAATAAAATGAAATATAATAAAATATAATAAAATAAAATAAATAAATAAAATAAACGAAAAAATAAATAAATAAAATAAAATAAATAAATAAAATAAAATAAAATAAAATAAAATAAAATAAAATAAAATAAAATAAAATAAATAAATAAACAAATAAAATAAATAAAGTAAATAAATAAACAACTAAAGAAAATAAATAAAATAAAAAAAAAAATATAAATGAAATAAATAAATAAATAAAATAAATAAATAAAATAAGTGAATAAAATAAGTAAATGACTATTAAATAAATAAATAATATTTTAAACAAAAAATATTCTTGCCAAAAACAGGGATGTTGTCAGTTAAATCAATTATGATAAATTAATGATCTATGCGGAAATATTTTCTTTGTCAGTTGTTTGGATATATACTCATATTTCAACAAACCATAAAACAAATTTCCATAACGAATTTCCATATTTAAATACCAATATCTATTAACTACAGTTAGTCAAGTTTGCTTCCCTAGTGGAACTTTCAGTTGTACCAACACTCTTTGTAATTTTCAGTAAAGAAACCTTAGTTCAATTGTGGAAGTCGCAGTTTGAACAACTCTATCTGTTAGCTCTAGTTAACCAAACTTAGTTCTATAATAAAAGTATCAATTCATTATAGAAACCCATTATCTCTACTTATAAAGAGTTATTTCTATAGTAGAAGTTTTAAGGTATTAACATCTTTTATTTTTAGTAATAAATGGCTTGTTCCTATAGAGCCACTAGTTATGACAACATTACATATTATCTTCCGTTAAATTATACTTCAATAAAATATAATTTATTTAAATATAAATAATTAATTATTGTTTTTAAATTAAATTACCAATTAGTACGCTCAAAAGTTATTTTCTTCAGCTATGAAAGGTTACTATTTTAGTGGACCAATTAACCAAACTTGGTTCCATGTTATTTCTAGTTAACTAAACTGAATTTCATAGTACAAATCTCAGTTGGAATCGCGATCTTCGTTACCGTTGATTATAAAAAAATAGCTTTATAGTGGAAGTCGTAGTTGTGGCAATATTACTGGTTATCCTTAGTTAATCAATCGAGTTCTATAGTAGAAGTCTCAGTTGGAACTTCAAGACCTCTTTTATTTCAGGTTTTAATCAATTAAATTATTATTTTAACAAATTAAATTTAATAAATTGTTAATAAGTATTAAGAGATCTAATTATTTGGGTTCTTCTGTCGTCTGTACTTCATCGTTGGACAGTCTTCCAGTATTTGTTTTACGAAGTCAGTCAATTTATGTAGTAATTAGTAATTTGTTTTTATTCAGAAAGATTATTGCTTATAATCTTTAAATCAATTTTCCTTGAAAGACCATACAAGCGATTTAAATTGTGATAGCCTTTGGGCTAACACGAGTTATCTTCATATAACTTTTTGTCTTTGCACTCATCTATATGTGTGAGTAAGAGAAAATTTACATTTCCAAAGGTATAGAATGTGACTCGAAACCCAGTGGGTCTATATGTGATTATTTTAGCCAAGGATTCTTATTTTTTTAGAACTATTCACCACCATATATAATGCTGCCTGATGAGAATTAAGTCTCTTGATTATATCCTGACTACTTCTTAGAATGGCTGCATATACTATGGTTTCTAATAGTTTTATTTCGGTCGTAGTTAACACACCTATCGTCTAAGTCTCTGCTTGAAAGATTGTTGTCTACTGAATGACTGTCGGTCTTTTCAACTTGGAATACATTATATCGTTTTCATAAAATAGTCTTTAGTCTTTAATGTACACATGGCGAAGATTAGATAGATGTTTAAGCGATAAATTACATAGTAATGTTTTTATTAATCCACAACTTCAAGAGTTACCGCTGATTGGTGTTTCTATTCCAATGCAGTAAATGTGTTGGACAGTAAAAACCAATCATGAATAATCAGTTGCTCTGTTCCCATAAGTGGTTTGGAATGAGTGTTCTCCATAACACCTTTGATATGTAATTTCAAAATATTATGTTTGTATAGCCAGTATATTTGAAGTCAAAGATGTACCTCAAATTTGCATAAACAATTAAAATAATTAGTTGTTTAAGTTTATGTATAAAATAGTAAAAAATAAATATATAAACATTTAAAAAAATAATAAAAAAAGCAAATGAATTATAAAAATATTAATGATCTCAATAAAAAACATTAACTGCATTTCAGTCCTTTACATTTGGAAATAAAATATACAAGTACATCCAAATACGTCACTGTAATTAAACAACACACTTTTTATATTTAATATAACGTAAATAATTTATAAAAATGTATATCGTTAAGTATATAAGTATTATATACAAAAAGGTAAATAAGTGAAAGTTTAATTCCGTATTAACGCTACGGTCCAGTAAAAATCCCACTTCAGCAATAATACACATAATATGCGTATTATATTTATTTAAACACAAAATCAAAAAAAAAACACATTTTATTACTTTATAAGTATACTCATATGCTTATATGTATATTAATTCCAAAAAAAAAAAAAAATAATAATAATATAAAATAATATTTAAAAAGGTATTCACTAGAAATATTAAATTACATTTTTATTATAATTTTTGACCTTTTTTAGTATTTTTTTTGTTTTTTTTTTGTGATAATTTTTGGTCATTTTCACTCTCTTCTTCTTCTTTATGAGTTGTTGGCTGCTCAGATACGCAACTATGGACAATACGAAAAAATTGTCGTAGTCCCACATTTTTGTAATTTGAATTTGTTTTTGGGCTTTAGGGTCTCTTAACCAGAAACTGGTGCTTCTGCTTGAATGCTTCTAAGGAAAGTGAAATTGTTGCAACCAACACTAAAACATAAAAAGAGAAAAATTATATATAAATAAAAGTGAAAAAATAGATAATAAATCTAACGAAATAGCGGAAAATAAAAGTTACTAAAAAATTATGCAAATTATTTTTTTTTATTTTGGAAATTATTTTGTTTTATTCAAATTCACTTTCATGACAGATCGCTGAATACCAAAAGATTTTGGACGATTTTTGACGATTTTGGACAATTTTGTGCAAAATCCAAAATTTTATTTTATTTGGTTTATAGTCAATTTATTGTTTAGTCATTAAAAGTTTTCTTTATTTTGGGTTTACTTGAGATCTAAAATTAAAAAGTTACCAATATATAAACTATAATAAGTTGGTTTGTCTGCATGGAGTCAAAAAAAACTAACATTCCGTTTGATTTTGTTCATACAAAAGTTAGTTTATATATTACAAGAGAGATGCAAGCTTCCTATTTTATTTTACGTAGCATTCATCGCCTTGCAGGCCTAATACTACGGTGATCAAAAGCACAACGTCTTAATGCCAAGCATCAAGTAACGCCCCATTGGATAATAATTTATTATTCCGCCGGTACCAATGAAGAAATTTGTGTAAGTCATATCTTCCATCTTGGTTAGATGCGAAACCCATCTAAAATTTCTGCTACAATTTCTACTGATCATTCTTCTCGCGTAGGTTTGGGTATTAACCACAGCCACTACGAATCCGACCTCATATGGTCAGAACAGCAGAAGCTGTGGGCAATCTGACACCCGTAGTACCAGATATCCTCTTGTCAGGAGTCGCAAGTACAGACTTTACTTGCTACCATGTGCACTTCATTACACAAGTGCTAGACTGCCACTGGAATTTAAGTCGCCTCTTACGATTGGCAATCCTAACCGTGGAATAATTTTATCCCCACATTCCGCAGGGAAACAAGAGAGATACAGTCAGCTGTTTTCAGGAAGTGTAAGAGTTCTAAAAAAACGCTTAAGAAGATCAGACACATTTTTTGGTTAAAACGTATTTGCTAGCCTATCTATCTATTTGGCTATTTATCTATTTATTTGTCTATTTAAATTTTTAAAAAAGTAAAATATTGAAAGCTTTGGTTCTTAGTCTTTATAGTAGACCGTCTATCACCAGTAGACCGCATTGAATAGGACTTGTCAAATACATTTGTAGGTTTTTATACCTAACGCACTATAAGTAACTAGCTATATTAACTGGCGATTTTTACTGGAGTTAAATTGTATTAAATATAGTTTATAATTGAACGCAGGTTTCAAATGAATATAACTGAGGCGGTTTCCTGTCTTTAAGATTATGACAATTGAGTATTAAGAGATTACAAATTACGGGCAAAAGTAGACATAAGCCTGTTAAAGTCCATATTGCTCTAACCTTTTAATGTAGTACACCATAAGGAAGTTATATTATACTAATATTATTATCATGTCCATGTACTCTTCAGAGGATTATATGCATATAGATAGGCAGATAGAAAAATATAGACAGTTGTTCAATTAGTATGATTGGTGGACAATATATAAATAAGACAAACACAGATATCATGATGAAGAAGAACTAGTATTATGTGTGTAGTCTATTCTATTTCTGTCCCAGTACTAGAAACATCTTAAAATATTATATACGCTAAGCGTATGTAGAGTGTAAATAAGAGCTTAAGTTAATAGTTATTATGTACTTACTTATTTTAATCATTTTGTACCTCTACTAAACTAGTTCAAAATTAGTTTTGACTTGGATGTTAGTACATAAAATATGGTAAGTGAAACTAAAATACTCCAGCAAAACAAATTTTAGTCTCTACTCTATTCGGTTTTTTTTTAAATACTTAAGCTATCGTTTTTGACTTAATTCGTCCGTCCATTACCAACTTTAAAACTTCACTTCGTTTTAATGGTCGAATTCTCCGAATTTAGTAAAAGGATTTTTGGAATCTTTAAATTTTTTCCACTCATGCCCAAGTACCGTAAA